TGACACTAAAGTGGTTCCGACAAAATTTGAGGACTCTATGTTATATTTTCTCAGATATATTGATTTAAGATTTTCTTCATATGGAAGGTGCCACGCCCACTATAGCCATTCCCCCCATTTTATCCAAAAATATTGTTATGGATGTCAAAGTTGTCCATACAAAATTTGAGGTATGCGACTTTTAATACTTATTTTGAATGTGGGCGTGGCACGTCGCCCACTTGAAATTTTGAAGTTAAAAGTAACCTATAGTTCCTTCCAGACATACTGGAAGACACTTTGAAAACGTCAGAAAAATCGGTTCAGCCGATTAGCTGTCTATAAAGTCCAAACAAACAAACATACAAACACACATTAATTTTTATACCCACTATCGGGGATATATCTTTTTTGATAGTGATTTTGTCATTCCGTTTGTAACACATTGAAGTATTCTCTATAGATAAGGTTTGTTTGGTAATGGAAATGGGCAATATCGGTCCAAATGTTCGGATAGCCTCCATACAAGTATGCCCGAAAAACAGCTTTAACGGGCATATCTGTTTTAAAAATTCGAGTAAAGCAATGAAATTCGATAATAAGTTTCATATTTGGCTTCCCTACCAAATTCTATAAGGATCGATCCATAATTGGCCTTACCCCCTGTATAAGGCCCCCTTCGGAAAATCACAATAACGTCCATTACTGACTTAAAAATAAGAGTATAGCGATGAAATTCTACCAAATTTTATGTGGATCGGTCCATAATTGACCCTATCCCCATATAAGGTCCCCTCCAGATAATTACTTTAACGCCCATTACTGGCTTAAAAGTACGAGTGTATAGATGAAATTTTACATAAGTAAGTTTCTTACGAGCCAAAACCTAAGAAACTTTTATAAGAACTACCGAATTTAACTTCAAGTGTTTTGTTTTTATCCAATCACACTCCCCTATTTGTTGTTGTTGCTGAGGTTGACAGCCCTTGGCCGAATAATTTGGGTCATTTGGGCACGTAGAACCAGCTGTTTGGGAATGCTGCAGCAATTGGGGTATGGATAAACAAACCTTGTTAGCTACATATAAAACTTTTGGTCGGTCGGTGGTTAATTATGCTGCTCCAGCTTGGTCACCTTCGCTCAGTGATGCCCGGTGGAGAAGCATTCAAAGCTGCCAAAATGCCGTCCTAAGGACTGTAACGGCCTGCCTGGAAGGCATGTCAGGAAGGATCTTCGTATATACAAGGAGAACATACGCAGATATGTGCAGGATCCATTAGATCAGTCCTCATATATTGCAGCTTTGAACGGCATTCATAGATACGGCATCAATTCCGCGGTAGCAGGATACCGCATGATTGCCATACTTGGAGGTCACCCACCGCCCATAGCAGACTCAAAAGAAAATCTGCCGCGGAAAACAAGAGCATTTCTAGCGCAACTAATACCGGGATGGAGCAACAGGCTTAATGTCTACTGGTCACATATAGACCATGCCGTCTTCAACGAAGGTGCTGCATGTGGTGAAGGTCCTCATGACACCCACCACATATTCATCTGCTAAGCCTGATAAGCTTCAGAGAGTTTACCAACCGCAAGTTTAGGAATTTACCCCCCCCTTCTGACGTGCGCTCCGCTGAAAGGGAGTTCCGGGAAATCGTCCTTGCTGCCGCTGCTCGTACAATACCTGCTGGTAGAATCCCGCTTATAAGACCAAATTTCCCAGCAACAGCGGCGGAACTAGCAGATGAGCGAGACGAAATCCGAAGAACCAACCCCAGCGATCCCAGAACTCAACAGCTCAACCGGGAGATCAGCAAGTTGGTTAACGACTACAAGCGGGAAAAGTGGGTAAATCACCTAAAAACCTGTAACTTAACCTCCGGAGCCAGCAAACTATGGTCTACTGTCAGATCTCTGTCGAATCCAGCCAAACATGAGGATAGGGTCGCGATATCCTTCAATGAAAATACCATATCCGACCCCAAGCGCTGCTCGAACTACTTTGCACGTCAATTTATAGAGCACCCCGACAGAGACAAGGCGAAAAGAAGCATCGTAAGGAAGGTACACGATCTTCGAGTCAGTGACAGACCATATGTTTTTACTACGAGCGAGGTTACGAAGGTCATCAGAGATGCTAAGTCATCGAAAGCTATTGGCCCAGACGGTATATCCATGTTGATGCTGAAAAATTTGGATGAACCGGGAGTTGAGTACCTTACAAAAGTCCTCAATTTGTCGATGTCAACCCTTATAATACCCGAGGTCTGGAAATTGGGCAGGGTTGTTCCCTTGCTGAAGCCAGGGAAAATTGCAAACCAGGGAGAATCTTACAGGCCTATCTCCCTCCTGTCACCAATTGCCAAGACGCTTGAGGCACTACTCCTCCCGGAATTACAACAACACCTACATCCTGCAGATCATCAACATGGATTCCGCCTAAAGCACAGTACAACAACAGCTTTAACCGCCATCACCACACAAGTTTGCCGCGGCCTTAATCAGGCTCGACCATGTCAACGAACGGTCCTCGTGGCACTCGACCTATCAAAAGCGTTTGATACGGTCAATCACGCCATTCTCTTCAGAGACATTTTAACATCTGGTCTCTCTGACAACACCAAGAGATGGCTAGTGAACTACATGTGTGGTCGACAGTCATTTGTGGAGTTTAGGAACCAGAGATCTAAATCTCGTAGAATTAAACAGGGAGTACCCCAAGGTGGAGTTCTTTCGCCGATCCTGTTTAATTTCTACATGTCTAAATTCCCAACACCCCCGGACGGCGTCCAAATAATATCTTACGCCGATGACTGCTCGATATTGGCCACGGGCAATAGTATTGATGACCTTTGCGGCTTAAAAAAAAACAGTTACCTATGTGATCTTTCCAGCTTCTTCCATTTAAGGAATTTAAAAATATCGCCTACGAAATCCTCAGCAACTCTCTTCACCACCTGGACTAAGGAAGTAGGGCTAGAACTGGATGTGACAGTCGATGGCGAAAAAATTCAGACGGTAAATCACCCCAAAATACTTGGTGTCACATTCGATAGCCTCCTTATGTCCTCAGCGCACACCACTGCAATCTGCAACAAGATGCGAAGTAGAAACAAGGTACTCAAGTCTCTAGCCGTCAGCACTTGGGGAATGGATAAAGAAACCTTGTTGACTACCTATCAAACGATTGGCCGGTCAGTGGTAAACTACGCAGCGCCAGTGTGGACACCTAGAGTTAGCAACACGCAATGGAAGAAGCTTTAAAGCTGTCAAAACGCAGCCCTAAGAACGGTGACAGGCTGCATTCAAATGACATGCGAAGAACATCTGCATGACGAAACGAAGATGCTTTCAGTTAAGGAACATAACATCATGTTGTCAAAGCAGTTCCTACTGGGATGTCATCGGAGGGGCCACCCTAACCACCATTTAACGGAGTTAGAACCCCCCCGAGGCATGTCAGGAAAGATCTTCGTATGTATGAGAGTGACATCCAAGAACACCTGGATGATATAGAGGACGAAAGCTCATACAGGACAGCTTTGAATACTATCCATCAACAGGCGGTGGAAGACTCCATCAATTCCCACCGCGATAGTATAATACTGGGAGGTCGTCCCCCACCCGTTGCAAACGAGGAACGAAACCTACCACGTCGTACTAGAGTGGTATTGGCACAACTTAGATCCGGATGGTGTACCCGTTTAAACTCGTACTGGTCGGGAATAAACGACACCATTCAAGATCTTTGTCCTGCGTGTGGAACAGGCCCACACAATGTTCAACACCTTTTTAACTGCAGGGCAAATCCAACTCAGTTGGAACCTGAATCCCTTTGGACTCAGCCGTTGGATGCGGCTCGTCTACTGGGTTTAGATCTAACGGAGTTGGATAACCAGAGCGAAGAAGAAGAAGAGTAGGGAATAATGTTTAAATATATATACATACGTGTAATTTCAGGTGTCGCTGCTACAACAACAACAACAACACTTTGTCCAATGGTTTTATGGACACATCCAATTGAAGTATCCCAATTTTTATGGCTGGACATTGATGTAGAACCCCCCAACTAGATTATTGTATAGTTTTAGATGTTACAATAACAACAAAACTCTCATAATAGAGTTTCGACAAATATTAGGTTAAGCAACCCTGTAGGATTTTGTGAGTTAACTAAAAATCAAGTTAACTTTTTGATAACTTCTAATGACTAGCTTGAAAGTAACTCAAAAATGATCGAGGAAATGAACAAACATTTCAATAAAATTTTAAATAAAAAATAAAATAGAAACTCGTATCAAATTTGTCAAACAATTTGTATTGAAAAAATGAAATTATGAAAATGAAAATTTGTTTCAGCAATGAAAAATGAATTTATTATTATTAAATTAACATTTTCAGGATAATGGATTAGATAATGGTGTATATAGGAAGGAAATGTTGCTGCATATTGAACGCATTTATAATCACTAACAATTTGTTAAAAATAGTATAAAAATATAAGAAAATTGCACAGGTAACTCACAGCTGATCTTTTATTTATGCACTAGAAGCTAACTCATCTTGAGGTAACTTCTGGTTAACTGAAACTGATGTATAGTGAGTGAATACTGACACGTTCCTATGACATCACATTGAAAAACTGAATAGTATTTTATAAGCAAAATGGTTAGCTTTTGAGTCACCACTGACTCATTTGTGGTTAACCATAAGTTAGTTTTAAGTTAACTCAAAATCCTACTGGGAAAGAGCGATGTTTTCATATAAATGTGCAAATCGGGGCTACATTGTTTTGAATGCATGTATTTACATTATAGCCACCTACAAGTTTCTTCGGATTTTCTTAGGCACTTGACAGACTTATCTTATGCATATTATAGTTGGCTAGATCGTCTTAGAGTCATGAAAGTGTTAACAACAAAGATTTTTAAGCTAAAGTTTATTAATATAATACAATATGTGTGTTTTAATTTTCTTTATTAAAATATCCCTTTCTAATTATTTATATTTTCTTACAGATTGGAAGTTTGACAGCTATTAAAATAAGATCTCCTGTAATTGCTGGCAATTTCGCTGTATGGGGTGGCATGTTTAGTACCATTGACTGTACACTTGTACATTTTCGTAAAAAGGAAGATCCGTGGAATTCAATTATAAGTGGGTTTGCGACAGGCGGTATTCTTGCAGCAAGAAATGGTAAGAATATAGAAAAATTTGTATAAAAAAATATTTATGAAAAACGCAAAATGTATATTAAAGGGGTGGAAATTGATTTTTAATTTTTTCTTGGTAGTTTTAAGCATTAAGCTATGTTCACAATTATAGAGTACTCATTCCACTTTGGAATGAATTAAAAGGACATAGTCAAATTTAAAATACTATTGCTGATAAAAAGAAACAGAAATACAATTTGCTGGAGTACTCTATCATTGTGAAAGTAGCTTTATATAAAAAAGGAGGTGGTCACAACTCTCAAAAATTTTTGAAGTTTGTCGGTATTATTTGTAGTTGTATTTTGTAAATGATATTATTGTTATATAATGTTTATTTATAAGTACGAATATTCTTGGCCCATGTGATTTTAAGAAATATCTGTTGAAAACACGATAGACCCCAAAAGTCTAACTCTTCACTTTTGATAAGATTTATTTGGTGTTAAAAATAGGAAATATGCACATATCGACTGGCATAATCCAAAAAAGTCGTTCGAGAAAAATGTCTTTGAATGTTAAATGATATTTTACTACTTTTAAAATAACTTTAAATCAGAGTATGAAAACAAACGAAACGTTTCTAAAATGTACAAAACTTTTCAAAATTTTTAAATCGTTTTGTACATGAGCAAAACTGAAACAAATACTTTTCAAGTGAGAAAGAGCGAAAACAAAACAATTGGCTTTTCGCTCATCTACTTGCTTTTGTTAGTACATTTGAGAACAAAACAAATGCAGAAACGTATTTTATGAAAGAATCATAAAGTTTGTGTGTGGATTTCATTTAATTTGTACGGTTTTTATTTTGTTTTTGTTTTTATTACTACTGTATTACAAATAGGCATCTACAAAAACTTAAACCTACAAATCTGCTTTTAATTTTACTCAAAATTGTTTTTGTAATGAGCAAAACCATCAGGAAACTTTTGTGAAAATGTTTCGCTCAAAACAGTTTTGCTCCTATTGTTTTGTTTTCTAGCTGCGCACAGTGGGGCAGAATGGAAATTTTTTGGAAATAAATCTGGCATTTCTAAACGGCTGATCCGATCGGGATAAAATTTGGCGTGAGCGTAGCCAAGGAGTATTCGAGTTTAAGTTTTGAAGATGAACCCTGCAGATGCCCCAGGGACGGCGCTGTGGCGGCTCAAAGTAGGGTACCTACGACATGTAAAATTTTTAAATTCGTGCCATTTTTTTGTTTTTCACCCAAATACAAAGATTTTTATATTTTGTGAAAGCGCTCGACGAGATCTTGAAAAAACATGCTTGGACATACTACTTATCTCTTATAATATCCGAGTTATAGGCATTTAAAAATTTAGTGATACAAAATTTACCATACCTTGGTCCGCCTTTTTTTGAATACCGGGCGTAATTTTGGACCAAATGGACTCAATTTTTTCTTGTTAGTTAGACAACAAAATTTCCAATAATATACAAAAAATTTCAGATCAATATCGTTTACAGATCCAAAAATATACGTTTTTTAATTTAAAAATTCAAAAAATTTTAGATTTTTGGCGTTTTTTTGCCAAAAATGTGTCTTAACTCTTTTATTAATAAAATAAATTTTTTATTAAGAACATATAACAATTTTATAGTTTTCTAAAAGGTATCTTTACGCAGAACGCTTTGGCGTAAAAAACTAGTCCTATTTTTTGAAAATGTTGCCACTGCGTCCTTCCGAATATGACCTATTTTTTATCAAAACTTCAACTTTGGGCGACATGTTCTAAAATCCCAAAGCTGGGATCAGAAAACTGAAAGCAGTTTTGGAAACCTCAATATGTTTTCTATTTACTCCAAAAGTATTTTCCCAGCCCTGAAAGAAATGTGGACCCTATGGGCAAAAAAATAAAAAATCCCATTTTTGGGATTTTCATTCCTATTTTTGGGAATTGCGGGATGCCCTTTGACCTTTTCAATTTTTTTTTGTATATTCTTATTTGAAATGACAAATTTAACAAGCGTTGAAAATTTCATTGAGTTTTGTTCATAAATAAAGATTTTGTCATATATTACATATTAGTTTAATTTCTAAAACTATGATTTATATCAAAATTTTAATAGGATCGCAGATAGCTACAACAATTTAGTCCATATTTATCCCTTAATATAATTTTTTAGTTAGATATGGAAATTCTCGACCCTTTACAAAAAATTTCAAGCCAATATCTCAATTACATTCAAAAATATGTTCATTTAAACCTGTGTCCTTTAATTTCATCTTTTTCATATTTTAGTATTAAGTATGACAGAACATTTGGTGTTGAATAAAATATTTGGACAATTTTTAAAAATTATTTAGTTAATTATTTTATTATAATATTGTATATTAAATAAAAAAAATTATAATTTTATTATGAGCCACGCACAACAACACCTAAATCGCCCCACACAAATTACCTTTCCCGCCCACAGAAATATAAAACACAATTTAATACAATATCATCAGTTAGTATAATAGCTTTTTTTATTTGAACTGTTTATCTTAAACATAATACAATTAATTCTTACAACCTACTTATATAGTTAATTCCTAACACTACTTATTTTCTATAAAATAATCTGTCATATCGGTATACATATCCAGAAGGTAATATAAGTCCTTTAAATCTTCCTTGTTTTGAGATGATAGAGTTTCATAACAAATCCATCTTTTTCGCATAGTTGAAAGAACAGGATCAGAAGATAGAAGTAAACTATTAAAAATATCTTCATTCTGTGATTGCCTGGAGCATTTTCTTGAGCTGAATAGTTGAACATGCTTAAAATCTCGATTCCTCGCTTCCTGGGCTTCTTCTGTTAACTCTCCAAGTGGAAGAATATTCGATTCAATTATTATTTGACCATGACACAATACTTTGTGTACTGTTGGTGTTAGTTCCCTCCATGGATACAGAGATACAAGTAATTTAGAAATTTCAGATGTGTATTCCCCAAATTGATTTTCATTAATTTTATGTTTACTATTCAGTGCCATTAAAATAGTTTTAACTCTTCGAAGCAACTCCTTGTCGATTCCAGTTATTTTTGAAGTAATTTCAAAATCACGAAAAAACCTTCTCGACGTATTACCGTCATTTGTACTACCGCAACTTGAAAGTGGTTTGTCGATGTTTAATCCCATCTGAACTTTAAATTCTTCTTGGATTCTGCTTTTTTCCGCAGCTCTCAGTTCTTTCAATTCTTCATTATTTTTTGTTGATTTAGTAGGATAGTTTGTTTTTTTTTTTCCTGGATCGCCTTGTATGATGGTAATATATTGTGTCCTTTTTCATGCAGAGCTTTTCTTAATATTTGGTACTTATTTCGACTGAGACCCAGTTCCAACATAAGCGCTATTGCTTCCTCTTCAGTAAAATTTGATTATGATGTTGGAGTTGGTATACTTTCCACAATTCGCTTAAGTCGTTTTGGTGATGCATTAGAAAGAATAGTTGCAATATGTACGACATCCATATGTTGGTTTTCCTTTTTCAGCATTTCGTTAAATGTATCAGCAATTTCCTCATTTGAGATTGAAAAAAGAGAGATTTCCGTAGTAGTTTCCATCCAACTACAAAATTTTAATCGAAATTTCTTTTGATTTCCATCCACAGACTTACTTTTTACATCAAAAAGTTTTAAAAAGTTTTCAATTTTTGATATGCCTGTTTTGTCTACTTTTCTACTATATGTAGTTTTTATATAATTTGAAATGTCTTCAATTCTTTCTGGCCCTTTTGAAGATATACTCCATAAAACGGAACACAACTCTTCGTACTTTAATGTAATCTTCATTGTAGACTTATTAAATATGGTACTTAAAATCTGAGAAGTTTACTTATATACCAATTCTTGTCATTTCCGATACAGGTATTCCAAAGTAAAAAATTACGAATTGTCTACCTATTAACATTTACTATAACCTGTAATTCAGTCATTGATATTTCTTATTAGTGAATGAATCGAAATTATCATTACCTGTACATTTTTACCTACATGATCATAAACGAAACAGAACGAAATGATCTGTCGAAAAAATTTAGGTAAAAAATAGTTATAAATTTTTGAAAATTTAAGCATAATAGGACCTTTCAATTATAAGGATAAGCAAACAAATAGAAAATAGGTAAATATAAGATTTAAATATGTGCTGTCATACTTAATACTAAAATATGAAAAAGATGAAATTAAAGGACACAGGTTTAAATGAACATATTTTTGAATGTAATTGAGATATTGGCTTGAAATTTTTTGTAAAGGGTCGAGAATTTCCATATCTAACTAAAAAATTATATTAAGGGATAAATATGGACTAAATTGTTGTAGCTATCTGCGATCCTATTAAAATGTTGATATAAATCATAGTTTTAGAAATTAAACAAATATGTAATATATGACAAAATCTTTATTTATGAACAAAACTCAATGAAATTTTCAACGCTTGTTAAATTTGTCATTTCAAATAAGAAAATGCAAAAAAAAAAATTGAAAAGGTCAAAGGGCATCCCGCAATTCCCAAAAATAGGAATGAAAATCCCAAAAATGGGATTTTTTACTTTTTTGCCCATAGGGTCCACATTTCTTTCAGGGCTGGGAAAATACTTTTGGAGTAAATAGAAAACATATTGAGGTTTCCAAAACTGCTTTCAGTTTTCTGATCCCAGCTTTGGGATTTTAGAACATGTCGCCCAAAGTTGAAGTTTTGATAAAAAATAGGTCATATTCGGAAGGACGCAGTGGCAACATTTTCAAAAAATAGGACAAGTTTTTTACGCCAAAGCGTTCTGCGTAAAGATACCTTTTAGAAAACTATAAAATTGTTATATGTTCTTAATAAAAAATTTATTTTATTAATAAAAGAGTTAAGACACATTTTTGGCAAAAAAACGCCAAAAATCTAAAATTTTTTGAATTTTTAAATTAAAAAACGTATATTTTTGGATCTGTAAACGATATTGATCTGAAATTTTTTGTATATTATTGGAAATTTTGTTG